CTCTCAGACTTGATGCATACTTACCTGTCAAGGACAACTACAGAGACATTTGACCCAAAGCCAGCAGTTGACTTGTGGATGGAGTCAGCTAATAGGAGGCTCAACCAGGACGGAGACATGCATCTGCAGCATCTTTATCATCTACCATGCAGTAAACCATCCATCTAGTCTTGTTGATCCACTGCCTGCCTTTTTGGTCTGCTTGCTTATGCTCTTTTGGTCTTGGTTGCCTCTGCCTTGTTTTTTGACTACTTTACATACACATATTTTCCTAGTTTTTTCAAACCACACAGTTGTCTGACGGACTAATCTTAAATCTGCAATTATAAGACAAACTAGAAATGATCACAGTGCTTTGTTTATTCTTCTTTTTATGGACTTGTTTTCTTCTTTTAATAATTGCCATGGTCTCGGAACATAAAATGAGAGGTACAGGTGAACTACCTATGGGACATGTCAGAGCTCTCTTTTTGCCATCTACTCTCTCTTTGTGGAACATGCTGTATAATATGATTTATCTCTGACTCCCTTATTTCCCTGACTGTTGTTTTTCCCCTGTGTGTATCTCACTGGCTTGAGTTGCAAAGCTTATTGGAAAGCACCGATTTGATTGGCTGAGTAGAATCACATGAGATGATTTAATGCATGCTGTGGTCCGCCAACCAGCGCTACAAATGCACTCCATCAAAATGTAATAATTCTTAATAATGTTTCTGTATATGTCTGGGTCCAGATATGAAGACATCTGTGACCTGGGGATGGAGAGGAATGGCAGGTTAACAAAGAGATGGTGCCCCCCTCAAATTATCTGCTGGTGGTAGTTAAACTGGCCTTATGAATAAAACACAAAACTAGCTACCACCATCTGGATTAACCCTATGGGCCCGAACGATGCAAAACGCGTCCAAATTCATAACTGTTCTTCTCTATGGGTTACCTCCGCAAAAGTTCATCATAGCGAGAAGCCACTCATATCACGTGAAACAGCGGAACCCAGTGACAGACTCAGGATGTTTGAAGGGCAGGGGTGAAAAGGAAAAAAGGGCACCTACTACATGACATGGGGACAAGAGGGCAGCCAAAAGGGCACATCCGCTCGTTTTCATCATTCAAGAGGGCAGCTGATAGGGCACATCCTCTCATTTTTGCCACTCAAGAGGACACTTTAGTGTGGCATTTTCAACCGAGGCGGCACATGGGGGGGCAACCCCCCGTCTGAGTCCATCAGTGGCGGAACCGCAACTTTCCAACAAGACCAAGTACTTGTCGGTAGTCCAGTGATTTCACAATGAAAAAAAAAAGATGAATTTACACTAAAATGATGTATAACAGAGCTTTCATACAGCTTTGCACACACATTGCTCTTGGTTGGATTACTCGCGAATGCAGGCTCGCACAGAAATGCCACGCATATCACATGGAATCGCAGGACCGGAGCTTTCCAATTATACCAAACACATTATTGTGCTGTCATCCCATCATGATATAAATATAGATCAATTGTCTACAAAATAACCTGACAAATTTTTTTACAATCCATTATACAGATCTTGTTATCAGTCACTTCATATAGTGAAGAATAATATTATTACTATTTTTCTATGATCTTAGATGTAAATGTTTCTTTCAAATAAAACATATTTTTGACTTGTGAATGAGTCAATGGAATTTCTTGCAATAATGAAAAAATACTGGCAATCATGTCTGCCTGTGACAGAATGTCCCACCATCATGGTTCTTATATTGCCAGATTCCAGAGAGTCTCCCCTCTTCATATATGGCAGAATATGTCAGTTACCAACTTGCTATGGTGAGATACATGTAAAAATGTAAGAATTTAGTTACACAGATTTTTTTTCATTGATATAAAAATTAATATAAAATACAGACACATAGAAGGACATGGAATGATGGCAAATCTGGATAGCCCATATTTTTCTGATCCTGAATACAAGATATATCGTGTGTGTAGCCTTTATAATGACTATGATATGAGTTTAAAAGTAAAGGCAGTAAAAATACCCCCCAAAAATCCTAGGGCCCAAGGCTGCCCTATCAATTAGCCTCCAAATTCACCCATGAGTCACAATTAAAAGTGCAAACCTAGAAAAAATACTGCTCATGTTAGACTCCAGTTAAACCTTTATAAAGTTAATATGCAAATCCCCACAACTGATGCAGACATCCTCATCGCATTGACCTCTAATGGTAGCTGTCCCCTTTGGCCAATCAAGACTGGTTCTTAGCATAGGCGATGTAGGCAGCTGCCTAGGGAGCCAACATGTGGAGGGGCGCCACGCCACCAAGAAACTTTACAATTATGGGTGCCCCCGTCTGCAGAGCCACTAAAACTTTGAACCAGAGACAGTTCAAATCATCTTTGTTTGAACTATAAGATAAGCGGTAGCATCAACAGAATTCCTACGTTATTCTTTTCTTCTTATTTATTGATGATGAAGCGGTAAACAGGGAGAAAGCAGAAGAAGAGAGATGATGACAAAAAGGCAAAAAACAGAGTTAGGCTAAGTGTAATGGCACCATTATCATTTATAAGCAAAGCTAACATTAGCTATTAAAGCTCAGCTAGTAGGTAGCTAATAACCTGCCCCATATCGCGGGCAGCCAATAACCCATCACAGCCAAGCAGATGTCTGCCTTGGGCCAGGTTGCAGCAGCTGTGGCAGGTTGCTGCTTCAGTCACGGTCACAGTGTGAAGAAATATAATAACTAAGCTAGCATGGTGAGATGCTGGTATTATCGGTTTGACTCTCTCCTTAGCAAAGGACATCATCTCGTGCACAGACCACACTATGGTTATATACTGTGAGATATTATAGGAATGTGTTGTGCAGGCAGCCAGTGTTTGTGGGCGTCTAGTGTATATGCATGCATTTATGCTTATTTTGGCAAAGATCTATTGATTACATAATTTTCTAGATGCCTTTAGAAAATATGTGGGACAGCCACAGCCTAACACTGCACAGCCCAGCGACTCTGCTGCTGGGGAAAGGAATCACAGAATGGACCCTCCATCTTCTGCTACGCCATCACTGCCTGCAACAGCTGAGTTTAGTCACTGGATGCTTTATTACAAAATTGAGCTATTCTTATGCAAAAGACAGTTGCTTACTTATTTGTATTTATTACCAATAATGTGTTATATTTCTGAGCAACATGTACAATGGGTATATAACTATGTGCATGCATGTCTGTCTTTTCCGATGAAGAGACGTACACCTCTACATAATGTACAGCGAGAGCACAGCCTGCAACAAATGAGTCCACTAGGCAGCACCTACTAACAAAGCCCTGTCATCAACAGTTAGTGATGCAGAAACCTACGATGTTTACTTGCACATGAAATGTGGTATAATCCGCTCAAACCACACCACAACATTACCACTGAATTATGTTTTTATGCTTGGTCCTGATTTGCTGATGTCTGCTTTACACCGCTGACTTTGCAGCTAATAGGACACTGATTAGTCTAACAGTTTTTATCACAGATAATATTCCATCAATACAATTTATTTCATTTTGATTTGCCCAAAAATTAAACAGATGTGCAGTTGTCACATTAGAAATAAACAGAGTGATAAAATAAATAAATTAATGTGTGAATTCAGACAATTAGTAATTTTCTGCCAGCATTTAATTGAAGCAGTCTTGCTTTTTGCTGCAATACCTTTTCTAATATTCTTCAAAGGCAGAATTAGGCAGCACCCCACTGAGCTCTGATGTTTTTATTTTCATGTCCAATAGCTGTAATCCCCTCTCCATTAAGAGCAGACACAGTGTTTTTGCTGAAAGTTTTTGTAATTCATTATAATAGTATTTTTCTTACATTTTGCTTCGCAAACAAGCTAAAGAACCATTTTGTGACCTAGCAACCAGTGTTCAGTGACTCTTGTTGTGTTTACTGACACTTTGTTTCTCTGGTTAGAAAAACAACTGAGCCAATCAAAGCTTTACAGGCTATTCAAGTCTGCAACTTGTATAAGGCTGTACAAGTTGCTGTGTGTTAACTTGTAGAAATATAATAATCTCATATGTCTGCATATTTTAGCAACTTTCAGTCTAATTGTCAGGTTAATACTGAATAATCAGTGTACGAATAATGCATGACACATCCATGTAGTTCTGGTGTGGTGCTACGACAGCAGGTGAAGGTAATAGCTGGGTGTCGGTAAAATCCTACACAGTCAAACTTTAGAACTTTTGCTGTCATCCCACCCTCAAAAAATAAAAATAAAAAAAAAATAGAAATGGCTCAAACTGCTACCCTATCAAGCAAAACAAAAAGTGTTAATTCCCAGATTCGAACTAAAATTCCTGTTGCTGTGCTGCTGCTATGTGCATTTGATGTCCAGGATCTTTTGTACAACATAATATTTAGCCGGACATGAATTGGCTGCATGTCCTACACTGCTACTCCAACTTATCTTTATGTATTTCATGCTATCAGACTTTTGCACTTACTCACGCTAATGGAATGACCAACAGGAACACTCATATCACACAAGGTATATACAACAGATGGAGAAATGCAGTAGTGCTAATTAAAGACACACGAGCATATACACAAACTCACACATACACTAGTACCATATGTGCAAGAACGTCCTCACACTTAATGCACAAACACACACATTCACAGAATACACATACACACAATTATATGCACACACTTATACAGATACACATGCTGAAATGCGCACACACACTCACCTAAACATTTTATACACACTCTGTCACATGCACAAACATACACATATGCTTTCATAGTTCTCCCTGGTGTGTGACAATCCTGTCAACAGCAGAGGCTGGCTGAAGTAGAGGAGGAGGAGAGGGGAGAGGAGGAGGCTTGTGCTATGCTGAGTGGTGATTGGTCATTGCCATAGCAACGAGGGAGGGCCAGGTTAGAGACTTGTGAGGGAGGAGCTGTAGGCTGATTATAAAAGCCATCTGAGCAACACTTTCTCTTCTCCTGAGCTGTCTCCAGTGTAACCGGCTTTATTTAGTCTGTCGTGTTGTCTGGCCAGTGAGACAGCTCGCAGTCTGTGCGGAGGACAGAGGGAGGGTGGAAGGGTGAGCTGTCAGGAGGAGCAGTGGACAGGTCTGTCCATTTTCCCGGTCTTCCTGCTGAGCCGTCTGTCCATCACACTGATAGAGCTGCCTGCATTTTGTGGATTTATCTCAGTGTGAGTGACACCTGGGAAGGCAAGGGAGCCCTGAGTGGATAGGCAGGAGTCTGCTTTCCCCCTCCGTCCCTCCTGTGTGTGTGGATGACCTGTGCACCTCTGTAAGTAGCTCTGCCGCAGCCACATCCACTCACGTTTGTCATTCAGACATATTGACCATACAGCATGGGTCAGGGGTCAGGGGAGGAAGAGACAGGTCTACATGTTGCTGATTTGAGGCTGAACTTGTGCTTTTGTTCATTATTTTTCTATAAGGATTCCTCATTAGCTCACTGGACATCTCAGGGGGGCTTCCTGCGCTTCACTCGGGTCTACTAATTGGTTACTTTAACTCTCCTTGGTCTGAAACTCTGTCTTTAGTTACAACTTTAATGGCAGTCAGTGTGTGATGAAATTCCAAGGTTAGGTTGCTGTATAAATTATCAAACGGATGTAAATTGTATCACACTGTTGCCTTTTAATGGAGACAGCACATGTTGTTCCATGCAAAACTATTAGTTCTGTGACTGAAGGGAACCACAAACATATGGCCACGCTGTAGTTAAAACTTGTTGCTTGTAATAACAGTACACACTGTACAGTTCAAGAGTGCGGTACATGATGAGAATGAGGCAGTCGTCCTTTGGTGTCTTAATTTGACGTGTTTGAAATGTAACTGTTGCTCCTGTGCCATAAGAACATCTCAGGATATCTGAAACCAACACACCCACCCACTCACTCATCCACCTCTTGTCTCTCTGATGAGCCTCATGTATTAGTACTTACATGTAAACCGACTCTGAACAGTAGTAATGTAGGAGCAGCCACTCAAATAAACAGAAGACTGTCCATATCCAATGTGCACACATCACTGTTTACCTATAAGGGCCTGTGGGTGTTTGGAATTGGGTGTCTGGTGTGTGTGTGTGTGTGTGTGTGTGGGTGTGTGTGTGTGTGCGCGCACACACAAGCAAAACTGGTTCCTTTTTCCACATGATTGCCATGCGTTGGTGAATCATGCAGAGTTTAGACTGGACCTTTTTTGCAGCTATCACAAAAGTAACTGAATCTAACATATTACTAAGAAAATGCTCTTAGGGTTGAAAGTGCACACAAGCAAAACTGAATTAATGTATGAAGTCATTATTTTAATCATGTTTTAGGGTCTTCAAAAGCATCAATATTCCCTATTGGAGATATTATGGTAGTTTTTCTTGTTACAGCATGCCGGTTTATTTTGACTTAAGTTCTTCTATAATGTAGTTATGGCATTTGTTAGTTACATTGGCAGATTCTTAAATTGACCATTTGATAAATGACTCTTCCAAAAAGCAATTGTCCGGTCATGACATAGCAAATAAATAAGCATTGTAGGTCTGTCAAGCTTTAGCCTTCTTAACATGCTGGAGCAGTGTGCATAAGGCTTTATAAGAGTAATATCCAGTATCTAAGGTGTTTGTAGGTTTGTGGCAATTTTTCTCACCTTTCCGTGATCTAAACACACAAGCAAAGTTATAAGGAATGGATTGAACAGCGTGTTTTATCTGCCCTGGCACAAACAGTTAAGGTAAGCATACCTTGCTAACAAGCTTACTGCCTACAGTAGTAACCAAAGGGATGGCGTATCATATCACTGGCTAACTACTATTTTGTGGGACTACAGGTTACATCAAAAAAGATTCCATAGACTGGACATATAATGGACGTAGCTACCATGATGTCACCTATTGGTTTGTGGACTCCTGTTTAGAAGCTTTGAGTTCGGCATTTCAGCCATTGCCATCTTGGTTCTTTGGAGCTAGATGTGACCATATTTGGACAAGCGGGTGGAGCTGTGGAGGAGCGAGGGGTAGATCTGACTTTAAGGCGGACAGCCTGTCACTCAAGTGGCCCCACCCCTAAATAGGCATAACTTTAAGCAATGATAAAATGTAATTGGGTGAATTGTATAAAAAGTCCCCCCTGTACAGTTGTCATGATGGTTGAAATTAGCTATAGAGATGAAAACCGTTTTTTGCACCAGGCTGTAAACATGTTTATTTCTGCAGTAAAGTTGGGCATTTCAACATGAGGATCTATAGGGATTAACTCGCTCTTGGAGCCAGCCTCAACTGGCCGTTCAAGGAACTGCAGTATTTGGTATGTTGGCTTCACTTTTCAGCCCTGGAGATTACCACCCGAAAAATTCAAGACCAACATATCAGTGCTAAAATTCTTGTTGCTGACCAAAAATTCAAGACCAACATTTTTCCTGTGTGGTAGCCAGTATGGCTGCAACAGAGTTTAGGCTAACGTAAGTAGCTCTGTTCTGCTCTTTGCTGGATTTGGCAAAGTTTTGCTCTAACTTCAACCTTCGCCAAACTCATCATCTGAGATAGAATTACTTTTTCCAAAGTCATTGGTTTGCTCTGAAAAACAACATGCTGTTTTTGTTTACTTCACCTAAAATCAAAAACCCACTATTTCAAATTTTCAAAATTGAATGCATAGTTTGCCAGGTGTAGTGACAGTGAGTGGAACACGACTTAGGGGCCGAAGGCTGAAAAGACGGAATGTGGTGAAGCAAAATTTGTTGGTAAATTGAACAAAACAAACAGAAATTTGTAGTTTCCAAAATAAAGGAGTGACTGTGATTGATTGATTCTTTCAAATGTTGTGTTTCCTAACTGGTGCTGCAAGTTGAGCAAGTTGCAGATCAGTGAATTTGGCCTCATCTACATGCCTTAGGATTAATACGAAATGAATGTAACATGCCAAACATAGCCATAATGTTAATACACATTTTCCCTGTCCTTTTTAGTATTCTGTCAGTCTTTGGCTGCCCTCTGTATTTATTGGTTTTTCAAATTGGTCATAACCATAATTCCAGTTATCCTTATGACACAAGCAGTGTCTACATGTACCTGCCTTACATGATAATAATACAGTTACGTCTCTGAACAGTCAGCCTTTTGCCTCTGAGTAAAGTTGATACTGTAATTTAAGTCCAAAGTAGCAATTTTTTGTCTTAACATGCTGCAGCTGAAGCACAATGGTGATGTTTACATAAGCAGCTTATTATTAAGTCCCTGATTCATCGCGCAGCCCTGGGCCCACTCAGCCATGATAATGTGAAGATAGACCCTACCATATTTAACAATAGCCCTGGCACCAGCACTAAACCCCACTCACACATGAACAAACACATGCAAACATTTGGTCAAACACAGCAAATGGAGGGCAGTTCTTGTTTCACACAACAACGAGTCTACCGGCTACTGTGATGAAACACAGTGAAAGGTTAAATGCTTCAGAAGGCAAGCACCTTTCATAAAAGTAAATCTAACACCAGAGACTCCATGGTTCTAGTGTGTCTAAATGATACTGGCATGGCTGTATTCTAGTAGCGGAGCAACAACTTAAAGATCACTAACATGAGAGACTCGGCTCACTCACCACTTTAGTGTTTTTATGTGAAGAGTGAACCGAGTGGGTAGCGTGCTATTTGCAGGTCACTGACACTACAGAGTGTCTAGGTGAAGCAGTGTTTCTCTTATTGTTGCCATTTTGAGATGCCAGCATGTTGTATTTCCGGCAGCACTAAGGAACAGTGCGCTCTTGTTACTTTCAACTCTCTACTGGTTATTTGCAAAACAAAAGAAGCACATTAGCTATATCATTACATTATTGTTCTGTTTTCATTGGACAATACTTCACAGGTAATTTACAGTTGAATAAACTCAGTGAAGTTCAGTAAACATTGATAAAGTGGTATGTGCACACAACTCAGCTGAAACACACTGGCACACACTCCTCAGTCTTACAGGATGCCCTGAAGACTTTTCTTGTAAATATACAAAGTTATATTTACATTCAGTTTACACTCTGAGTGTGAATGCTGATCTTTCCTCATAACATATTTGCAAAGCCAATCTTGAATGCTGCATGGTTTATTAGTTTGCAGCTTTCTTCCCTGTCCTTGTCAGCTCATTGCTGCACTTCTTTGCAAGTTAGTACAGCCAACTGTTGATCAGCGGGATGCATAAGACCTGTGGCAGTCTGAATGTTTCTGCATGTGTATCCCGGTGCACATACCTGGTAGAAACAAAACAGGGAACCACAAATGAAAATACTATCCATAGCGCCACTGGTGGCCAAAACTCAAAACTATCTAAAGGATACCTTTAAATAGGGGTGCTTTACAGTGAATGTCATAGCTACTGCAGAAGATCAGTGTGTAGATATCTGGGAGAACAAATAATACAAGTGAACATAAAGAAAGTCGCAAAATCTGAGCAGAACATTGCTGTGTCCAAAATCGCAGTCTAGGTACTTCATAGTCAATATATATATATATATATATATATCAGCATACTTTTGTGCACATAAACAGTAGCATGTCTTTTCTGATGCACTGAGCTATATACCAAGCCACTTGCTGAGAGCCTCCCTGCCGTTTGGAAGACATAACCATGGTAATCATTGCCAACTACAACTCCACCGGCATCTGCAAGCATGATGGACCTGTTGAGTTTTTTTTTTATGCCAACAGCTGATGTTTAGCAGGTTTAATACTTATGTGTGTACCCAATTTCATGGCACACCAGCCAAATAGTTTTTGAGATATTTCAGTCTGGATCAAAGTGGTGGAGTGACCGACAGACTTCCTCAGGGCCATGCTAAATAGCATGTTAGTATTGAGTTTCTAGCTAGCTTTTTATGTGATTGCCAAAATCCAACACATCAGATGCTATATGGCCTTAAAGGTTTGAACTGATATGCTTAAAGCATGATGCTTGTGTTGGCATTTCTATAATTTTTCTGAGAAAGGATCATAGAAATAAGTAACAAAGTTCACTTTTCTCAAGGTCAGCTTACCACCTAATACAGCTTTCAGCCCCATCTCACAGTGTTTATTCAGAGAATGGAGAATTTCAGTGGTCACGTCACAGCAATGGAACATCACAAGGACTCACCACTGGTACATGTAATACATTGTTTGTCATGGTCAAGTTTCAGCTAAAGCACCAGAACATGATTGGATACTGTCTCTGTATGCAGAAGTCACATACTCCATCCTGTGCCAATGCTGCTGCCAGGGTCACATTGAATTACTAAAAAAAGATCTAAAGGGCCTAAAGTG